CCATCACGTACACATATGACAAGTACTTCACTATTTTCTGAATTTATAAATATTGCAAAATTTTTTCTTTACTCAATATTAATCTCCAGTATAACTTGTGCTAAACATGAACCTGAAGAGCAACATCTAAAATCATTAGCACAGTTTGTATGGCATTCTTAAACTTTTGTCCCTTGGCCATCTAAATCATCAAATCACACAAATTCTGAATACGTAAAAGAATCATAGACAATTATACTGTTGATGGAAATCCTTAACCATCTATCTTAATGTTAATAATATGTCTTGATGCTATATTCATTGACATCCTATTCTCTTCAAAGCAAAATATTTGCACAGTGCGACAACTATTAAGAATTGACTATGGTAGCCAAAATCAGAACTTGCCAACTTAGAATTGTATTTCACTCCCTACTATCTTAATAACTAATTTTTATGGTAAACATTACATAGAAAATTGTTTGAGCCTTTACGACATTTCTATTAAACCTCCTCGCAAAAAGTTATTATTTCATTGCAGTCACATATTGTTTCAATATTTCAAAACCTTTATTGTAAATTCTCATAGTGCATGTATTTGAGAACACCACCACATGATTATCATAATCAGAATAACTAACCATACAACAATTATGAAAATAGCTTATCAAAAGCATTTGTTACCTCCTCCCCTTTAAACCAGAACCCTCATCTTTGGATTTTACACCTGCCATTAATGAACAATAGAATAGGCCCATTATCTTATTCATGTGTCTACAAAAAAAAATGAGACCATTCATTTATCCACATTACATAAAAAAATCAATATTAAGTTCTTTCCAAAAGTTTCTGTGGAAATAACTCAGACAATTTTAGTCATTTGCAACTGACTTTTAGAGTCATTCTTCAGCCTCTCATTTGGATTGATGGTTCTGCCTCTGACAAAGGTTTTGGACCCTGGCATATCATCCACTTGAAATGATTCTGCAAACCCTTGATATAGTCTAGTCTTCTTTTGGGAACTTATTCTATTCATTAAAAAATGTTTGAACTACAGAAAAAAGCCTAAAATGTGTCATAAACCATACAAATATTCGAAGTTCAAGTCGATCTCTGTACCAGAAGTTCAGTGACAAGTATATACAGAAGCCTTAATTAGAAAATGAGGAACAATATATGTTCTAGTCTACTGCCTACAACAGATCTTCAGAACCAAGAATATGTAGGATACTATTTTGAAATAATGTGAAAAAAGGCAAAATCATGAAGGAATCTAAGCAGATCAACCTGCACTAACTTACGAAACAGATGCATGATAATACTGCACTGCAAACACTTAATGTATCAAACAATATTGTAAAATGACGGCAAAAATGGTTTAAATTTGTATATACTCAACCCTAGATAAAGGTGCCCACATATAGAACAACCTACTTGTTGGGTAAAAACTAGTCATTTGAATTCCACAAGTTCAATAGACATATTTCATTGTGCATTAAATGGACCTTTGTTTTCATTTATTTGTAACTGAAAAATAATCCAATATTTTTTGAAATCCTATAGAGCGTAAAAAAACCGTTTAAGCTTATAATCCTCGACCGTGAAACACAGATAAGCCATTCAAACTTCATTTTTCCACAAATCAGAAATTAACATAATCACAAACCAAAAATAGAACTTGGGTGTATTTGATTACATTTCCATGGAAAATATCAATTTTCCATCCAAATTCCTACTTTGATTGCTATTTCTTTTATAGAAAATATTTTTCAATTTTTGAAAATATGCCTAATTTTCCTTAAAAAGAAGAAAATATTTTAAGAGGTGATTTTTATTTTTCGATGAAAAATATTTTTTAAGTGATATTTTCCATGTCAATCAAACACACTATAAATAAATCTGAGTTCAAAAGACTTGTTAACGATAAAGCCCCAGTTCATCGCATTGCGTCAAAACAGAGTCCAAATGACGACTAATCTGACTCCTCAAACATTAAAAACGCAAAACTCACTTAGCGAGGTCACCGAGCTGGCGGAGGATACCGTCGAGGTTGGCCATGGCGACGCCTTCCAGCAAAGCCCCTCTGTATCATCCTTAGCTACGGTTCTGTACACCTTCGTATTAGCCAAATTATACTCATTTCTTATCTCGAATAATCATCGACATTTTCTTAATTTTCCTAAAAAAATCCTAAACTGGGGTTAATTATATGAATGGTCAGTGAATTTACTTAGTAATTGAACTTAAAAAAATATAATTCAATGATCATCGAACTTCGTCAAGTGTTACTACTTCAAAATTGAACTTTAAAATGTATCTCAATAATCATCGAACTTTGCACTGGGTTATCCATCCATCACTCAAATGAAAAAATCTCTTAAGTTCAACAGATGACGTCAACTTGAATGACGGATGGATAACATGGTGTAAAGTTCGGTGGCCATTGAGATACATTTTAAAGTTCGGTTATGAAATAGTAACATTTGATGAAATTCAGTGACCATTAAAATATATTTTTAAATTGAATTATTAAGCATTTGTTTGAGTCTCATTCTTTCAAAAAAATATTCTTAAACAGTGATTTGACATCATTCAACACCACATTCTTCAATAAAATAATATTACAAGCAATTTCAAAACTTTTCTTTATTTGTTAACTATACATTTCCCATTAATATACTATTCAAAAAATCATTTTATCCCTTAAAATGGAGACCAAACAATGGCTAAACTTCTCAAATCGACCTCTATGAAAAAGAAATCAAGGAAAATGAAGGAAAAAAGAGGAAACAGAAAATTAGACACATATAAATTAAATAAAAATAAAATTGTTGCTGATATTCATCCATCGTGATGAAAAATTATGTTTGATTTTTATACAACTGGTATCAGTTCATCGTATCTCAAACTCCACATAAATAGATTGAAAAAGAAACAGTTGGAACACTAAAATAAATTGATGAAAAAAAATTAAATAAAAGTACAAAAATGTTCGAATAGTGCCAATGTAACTGAGGTCAATTTGATTTTTCAACTATGTTACTACTTAGTCACTGAATTTAAAAATGATAATCAATGGTTATTGAACTTCGTCAAGTGTTATTATTTCATAACCGAACTTTAAAATGTATCTCAATGGTCATTGAACTTTGCACCGTGTTACCCATTCGTCACTCAAATTGACGCCGTTTGTTGGACTTAACGAATTTTTCCATTTGAATGACGGATGGATAATACGGTGCAAAGTACTGTGATCACTAAGATACATTTTAAAATTCGGTTAAAAGTAGTAATACTTGACGAAATTCAGTGACCATTAAGTTACATTTTTAAGTTTAGTGACTGAGTAGTAACATAGGGCAAAGTTCAGTGACCATTCATATAATTAACCCTCCTAAACTGAATTTCGTCCTTGAAATTTTCAAATTGAGGCCCAACAACTCCAATTCTTGAAACTCTGAAACAAAGAGTTGCAATGAAAATAACACCACACTTTTGCACGTAGAAAATTCAAAATCATTCAGGAAAAAATAAAAAAATATTGAGGGAGAGATATTCGATTTTATTGGAGCCTCCAACAACGGAACGATCTCGAAACCCAAGCTACCCATGTACCACTGGTCTCTCCAAAACCTAATCCATCGCCCCTTGCATCTCCACAGGTCAAACACAATCATCAACGGCAACCTCTCCATCCTCTCTAAAACGAACACCAAAAAACTTAACCCAAATGGTAACCCGTCGCCCTTCTTTCAATTCTAGCACTAAAGCTCAAAAAATTTGAAGAAATCTACACCATGAAAAAATTAAAGGCATGAGAATTATACTTACGAATATATGTCTCAATTTCTTTAGATTGTTTTAGATTTCTTTTGAGAATCGTGATGAGAAGACCATTAGACCATTGTTGTAAGAATTATTTTGTCATTAGGATTTGAGGGTAAAATGGGAAACATATAAATGCTTCTTGAATAAATAGTGCAGGCCTGATTCCCTCTTTTAATAGACTAGGGATAGGGTCATAGGGAAATGAAAAAATAAAAAAGGAAAAAAAAAAGAAAATATATATTTAGGGAGAGATGTCCAATTTTATTGGAGCCTCCAACCATGGAACGATTCTAAAACCCTAGCTACCACGTAGGTCTCTCCAATACCTAATTCATTGCCGCTTGCATCTTGACAGGTCGAACACAATCATCAATGGCCGCCACTCCATCCTCTCTAACACGAACACCAAAAAACTTAACCCAAATGCTAACCCGTCACCTTGCTTTTAATTCTAGCACTAAAGCTCAAAAAAATTAGAAGAAATCTACACAAAAGGAAAAAAAATTGAAGGCTCAATTTCTTCAAATTGTTTCATATTTCTTTTAAGAATCGAGATAGAAGAAGGGGAATTACGGTCTGGTTAGCCGAGGGTTTTTTTGGTGAGAGAATAGATATTTTGTATACATACGAGAAGATCTTAGACCATTGTTGTAAAAAATTATTTTGGTAATAGGATTTCAGTGTAAAATGGAAAACATATAAATGCTTCATGAATGAACAGTGCAGGCCTGATTTTCTCTTTTAAGAGAGTAGGGTTTTAATAATTGAGATAGAAGAAGAGGAATACCAGGGATTTTTTTTTTTTTTTTTTGGGGGAGAGAATAGATATTTTGTATACATACTAGGACCACTAGACCATTGTTGTAAAAAATTATTTTGCTAATAGGATTTCAGTGTAAAATAGAAAACATATAAATACTTCATGAATGAACAGTGCAGGCTTGATTTTCTCTTTTAAAAGAGTAGGGTTTTAATAATCGAGAGAGAAGAAGAGTAATACGAACTGGTTAGCCGAGGGGTTTTTTTTTTTCTTTTTTTTTTTTTGGGTGAGAGAAGAAATATTTTGTATACATACGAGGACCATTAGACCATTGTTGAAATAGTAAGATTTGAGGGTAAAATGGGAAATATATAAATGCTTCTTGAATGGACAGTATAGGCTCGATGCCCTTTTAAAAGAGTAGGGGATAGGGATATAGGCTCAGAAGAATATTTGTGAAGCCCAGTAAAGGGAGGCCTACCAAAGGACAACCGATGTTCATTCGGAAAGGGGAAGAGCAGCGAGCCTAGGTTTTCTTTCTCGGTATTTTACACTTAAAATTGGGAATATATCCATCGCCCCCGGCACCAATTTATCTTACGCTGCAGTGGTTTCTTCTCAACTTTTTGATCACCAAGCTTGGAAGGTAGTATCGGATTTTAGCGTCAAAACGGGCTTTATATGTTGAAATCGACTCGATTTGTTTGTTGTGAATGATTGAATTTGAATTCAACCCCATATAATTTATTTTATTTGTCCAGAATTGTTGTTTCTTGATGGTAATCTTTCTCTAGCAACATTGATTTTTTTAACACTATTTCTCTTGAATTTTTGGTGCGGTTGTTTATGGTTTTCCATTGGCGAAATACCCAGGACCAAAATCCAGTGGGTGCAGTTGCCCCCACTAGAGCCCAGGTGGCTCCGCCCCTGTTTCTGACGAGTCCTTTATTCGATGAAGACCAGAAGATTTGGGGGCGTTAATGATGTTTATTAAATTTTTTTTTTCTGATTTAAATTTTATTTTGTCATTTTGTCGAACTGGATTCATGAGAGTTATTATTTAGTTGTTTCAATTCTTGTGTGAGCTCGATCCTTTAAAACAATTAGAGACTAGAAAGATTTTTTTTCTTTTTTGGTATTAGGTGCGGATCCTGTATTTGTTTGTATCAATTTCTGAAAACCATAAATAGGAGAAAAATGATAGGCGAATGGGCTAAATATTGTAGTTTGAATGATCATGTGAATTGTTCTTACTTTTGCAATTCCTTTTTATTACTTGGTGTTTACTCCATCGGGTCATGGTTTTTTAAAATGCAATTTGTGGAAACTTCTATATGTGACTCTAGTTATCAGTGCAGATATGTTGATAAATATCTGAGTTTATATATGAAAGATCACTTTTATTTTTGGTGATCAGGTTGATATTTCTTGGTTCACGAGGAGCCAGCATCCAAATAGTTTCCTTGTCTCTGGTAAATCACTATTGCAATGCGGGGATATGATACAGATGTATGCACATACTGCACAACCGACCTTATACTTACTTTTTTTTTATTTTTTTTACTGTGCGTTTATTCATCACTACTCTTCTATTGCAGAAATATGAAGATTTGGATGAATATGAGGAGGATGGTGAGGAATACGAGGAAGCGGGCGGTGGAGAGGAGGAGTACGAAGAGGAGGAAACCCACCAGCCCACACAGGAGTCATTGGAATATCTTGAACTGAGGCAAAGGTTAAAAGAGGCATACAGAAAGAAGATGAAGAAGGAATCAGGGACTGCTAATCCTAGTTCCCGCGACCAAAGTAGTGCAGTGCGCAAGGACAAGTGAGTTTCATTTGCTCGTAGTAAATTTCGGAGACTGTTTGTGCTTGTGAGTTTGTCCTTGATACAAAACCAGTGCCCTGTGGAATCATTGAAGCGATTAATTATTTATTTTATTATTTTTTTCCCGAGTTTGACGAGATGGTTTGTTACTGATCGTTCCTGTTCCAGTTAATGAAAAGCAGTCTATAGTCTTTGCTATCTGTGATATTCGTGACTTTCAGCTGTTGTAACACGTTTATGATTTTAGCTCGTGTTTGGTACGGAATAAAATTCTAAGTCAATCTAACAGTTAATTTAAACGACATATTCCATGGTATTCACAACTTTTCAACTATACATTTCATCAACTTTTATCAAAATCTACTAAAAATCTGATTTTAATCCCTACCAAACAGGGGCATGTGATAAATATGATTTTAATGTGCTATTACTCCCACAGTAAGAGGTATTGGTGTAAATTTGATAAGTTGTGGGCATTTAGCATTTTCAGCTTTTTTAAATTGTTAATTATTTCAATCAAACTCCTGTATTTTATAACAAATGTTGTTGTCTTCGAACAGTTGTGCAATTTGGGCCTTTATTGTATTTTGGTTCAAATTGAAGGCTTCTCTTGATGTATTATACATGTCTATGCTATACATGTAATCATTGCTCAGAATTATTCATTATATTATTAATTTAACTATTGATGCATTGCAGCTATGGTTCGTTCTTTGGGCCTTCGCAGCCAGTTATTGCCCCGAGAGTGATTCAAGAAAGCAAATCCTTGTTGGAGAACCCAATTTTGGCAGCAAGGGTTTCTAAATCCAACCATTCCATGCGGGCCAATAAGAGCTCTGCTTCAGCCAGCATGGCGTCAAAACCTGGAGCTGGCCATCCGCCAAGAGTTACAAATGGGGTAATCATTGTAGTCATTGCTTTATTTTGGGGTGATTTTAAATCTTTCCTGTTTCCTGGTACAAGTATGCAGCGGCTAATACGACCTGCTTCTTCTTTTCCACAAGAAAGGGATTTCTCGTCTTCTTGCCTTCCTTGCCTTCCTATAATGTATGGTTATTTGTTAAATGCAGGCAAAATCAAAAGTTGAAATGCTTAAAAATACAAGGGACTATTCTTTTTTGCTATCTGATGATGCTGAGGTTCCGGCTCCCTCCAAAAATCCACTGAGAAATGGATCTGCCCCGAGATCAGGTTTGTGCCTGTAACTAAACTGAAGCTAATATGACCTGTTTCTTCTTTTCTACAAGAAAGGGTTTTTTTCTTCTTCTTGCCTTCCTATGATGTATGGTTATTTGTTATTATGCAGGTAAAAACAAAAGTTGAAATGCTTAAAAATACAAGGGACTATTCTTTTTTGCTATCTGATGATGCTGAGGTTCCGGCTCCCTCCAAAAATCCACTGAGAAATGGATCTGCCCCGAGATCAGGTTTGTGCCTGTAACTAAACTGGATATTCGTTGCAAAAAGCTCATTGCGTACTTTTTCCTCCTAAGAAAACTTACAGGGTTTTGATGCTCTTTAAGATGTGCGATCAGCTCAATTACCACCTAGGAGCAAACAGCCAGTGAAAGATAATGGCAAAAAAGCCTTCAGTGGTCATCCGGAGAGGAAACCAATGCCTGCAGGTGGCCAACCGAGATCTAAAGTTGGGTCCGAGAAGTTGGCTCCATCAAGCAAGTTGTCAATGGGAATCAAGCAAAAGCTCGGTATGAATAATGGAAGTGGGCCTGGTCGGCCTGTGGGGATGGAAGATGGACCATCTAGAAATCCAGCAGCCACCACGGGGAAGAAGGTTACGGCCCCAGTTGCAAAGAGTTCCATGCCTGGTGAGCTTAAACCAACCCCTTCATACTTGCAACCTAAGTTGCAAAAATCAACCCCTTTGCACTCGCAATCTTCTGTTCAAAAGAAACCATTGGTACAAAGGAAAGATTCTCAGGAAACTATCAAGGCGAAGGTCATACCGAGACAGCCTATGTCATCCTCTAGACCTTTGGTATGGCTAGCTTTTAATTTGGTAAATGAGTGATTCATGGAATGTGATCGTGCAAGTTGCTATGATTTCAGATGGAATGCTGTACAATATAACCTGGTTTTCTCCTACAATCTGGCAGGTAAAGCCACTACCACCCAAATCCTCAGCTCGTGGTACTTTGGCTGAGGAACGACCAAAGAGAAAACATATGAATGATGATGACGACGATGATGTGCAAGCTATAAGTATGATCAGAAAAATGTTCAGGTAATTATGATTTTTTTCACTTGCAAATTCTTTGATTCCCTTTGTATCCTTCTTTAATGACGGAATTATGTTCCATACTGCACTTTGTTCCAATTTATACGGTTTGTTTTTGAGCAGTGTCAGACCTTTTACAGGTATAATCCTAACAAGTATCGGGATGACGACGATGACAGTGACATGGAGGCTAATTTTGACGATATATTGGCAGAGGAGAGACGCAGGTAAATAGATATGTTATTATTGATATTGCATGCCTTTTGACTTTGGTCCATAGTTATTAGACCCGATCTGAACATTGACCCGATCAAGGTACTGGGCCATCGGGTTACTGGTCGGACTGGTGGGTTATTACTTAAAAATAATTTAATAGTTAATATAAAATATAATTTTATATTTTTTGTTTGAGACAATTAAAAATTTCAAGTTCTTTGCCACTAATTATTTTTATACTTTTAAATTAATGATTTTTTGAACTCATTTATTGGTGATAATGATTACATTTTGATTTTATAATTTTGTATATAATATTAAAAAAGTATATTTTCCCTTTTTGTTAGTTATTGACCAAAAATTTGTGTATTATCTATTAAATTTATCTTAGTTAAACTTAATTTTTTTCAAATAAAATAAGTATATAAAATAAATATTTGATATTACAAAATGATTGAAAATTTGGACTAATTTTTTAAAAAATATTATAGAAGATAGCAAATTATTCATAGGTTATATATAGTTTATATTACACAAAAGATAACAAAGTGTTGCGTGATCTAGTGGTAAGTTCATGCTCTAGTTAACCATAGGTCAAGTGTTCAAATCTTTGATCCCTAAAATTTCAATGGAAAAAAGTTTTAAAATTTGGTTAAAAAATCTGCCAATCGACCCAGTCAAATCCGATTTTTTGACCGGGCCACTTGCATTTGCATAATATGATATTGTCTGGCCCGGCCTAGGGTCCAGGTCACGGGGTTACTTGGCTGACTGTACGGGCCGGGCCAGTTTAAATAACAATGCTTTGGTCTGTGTATATGCTTCTTGTTTTATATTAAATTGGTTGATGGTTAGTCCCTGAAATTTTCTTTTCCTGTCTGCGTGTTAGGCCATGCTCTTTGGGCTCGACTCGCATATTTGGTTTATTAGAGTTGGTATTACTACATGTCGGGGAAATTTAGCCTGTTGTATTTACATATATTTTATTTCTATCGTCACATCAAAATCACCATTATTATGTTATTCACTCAAGAACTGCATCCTTCTGTAAAACATAGTATCTAGTTGGCAATGAGGAAAGCCTAGAAGCAGTTTACTGTTCGGCATTTAGATGATCCATTTGTTTATGACAAATTTTGCAATGACAAAGTGCTTTAGATTTGATAGATTCAGTCGCACTTTGAGTGAATATTTGAATAGATGTCATGTTACTTTTGAATTTTGCTTGGATAGCAGTAGCGCATGTGAAAATTTGCCCTCATGTTGTTTTTCTTGCTAAACTTTTGTCTTGTCTTGTCTTGTGGAGGATGCTCACGATTGACTTTTTTGTTATTCAGTGCACAAATTGCGAGGAAAGAGGACGAAGAACAACTTCGCCTTATAGAAGAAGAGGAAAGGAGAGAGCGGATGCGATTGGCAAAGAGGCAGCGGATGCGATGATAGAAAGAAATGCTTCTATGACAACAGATTTGGCTGTTGAATATCCGCAACGATTCCTAGAAGTTAGAGCAAAAAATGAGGGCAGTCCTGCCTTGGTATTACGAGGTTCATTCCATATGTTAGTGTGAGAAATGGGGCTTTGGTTATTTATCGGTGTTAGGATAATTTTTTGCCCCCAGCTTTAGATTACATGATTGATTGATTTTTGTGCCCTTCATTTTGTTTGGGAGTGAAAATGTATAATTAATGTTCTTCAGTTCCATTGAATGTGGGGTTTTCATCAATTTTCTTGATTCTCGATGCAATTATTCTTCCTTGTGATATAATTTATAGGTTCGGATTGTATTAACAGCTAGTTTTCGATTGAATCCACCAGTCCGATCTCAATTTTATAACCGTTTCTAAATATTGAACATAGTTTAGTGGGCAGGTCGTCATTTTATTCTTATGTTTCCTATTTTCGAGGTTGGGGAAGAGGAGCTGGTCACGGGAGGATTGTTTTAGCCGGATGAAATGATTTTTCTGATTGAGTTGAATCATTACATCTGCACCATTTCAAAGGAATGCGTCCAGAAAATTTATCTACAAAGTTCAGAAGAGTTAGAACTCATATGTACTTTTATTTTTTAATCGATAAATGTAAAATCTACACTTATCTTGGTCATCAAAAATTGCTTTGGATGTAATTTTATAAATTAGATACTTAAAATAATAAAAACACAAAAATGTTAAGATGAACTATGTAACTTAGGTTTAATATTTATTTAATTCCCTGAAAAAATTCATGCAACTTAATTATGCGTTAATTATTTATTGTATGTTTAATACTTCAATTGTTTGATCACCAACTGACTGATTTAGGAATAGTATTGAGATAGAGATGTGATGTATGATTCTAGCTACACAATTCATATTGAATTCCTATATATTAATGGGTTCGTGTGTGTAAATTCAGGCAAATGAATAGAGCTACATTAGATAAATTCGATCGTTGACACGTATAAAAGGGGGTGAATAAATTTGGATTAATTGAATATTAAATAACCTAAGTGAATCGGAATTCCTAACCACTTAATCCCAATAGTTCTCCACAAAGTAGGTTAGGTAGGTTAAATTAGTTTAGGTTAGTATAATTTAGTTATAAAATCTGAAACTTGAATTAATAATTTATTACCACATCAATTTAGATTGAAACTGAAATTGGAATAAAAATTGATATTAAATATTAGTCTCTGGGGGAATGATACACTAACCCAAAGATTTTACTTCTACTACTTATCACGATTCGTACTCTTGTGGAATCACAGGAAAATATTAATCGAAACTAATATACAAGTAATCCGGGCATACCCAAGTTTACAAGATCGAAAGATGTCAAATGAAATATGTTGCGTGTTGTCATACTTGACCAACTTACCTGGGCCAATGGCCCACCCAGGGCGAACCACGTGGCCCTCCAGTCGAGGTGGCATAAATCGCCGACGTGACTATCGCTGAAGCCCTTCAAGCCGAGGTCCACTAGCGAGACCCTCTTTTATCAAGGCTTGTGAATGTACCCGAGGTCCACATGCCGAGGCCTATGACCCGAAGCCATGATGCTAAAACTGGTTGAAGGTAGCTGAAGCCCTCAAGTGGAAGTATCGTATGAAATGGCCGATGCCTCGGAGCCGATGCAGGAGCCTTCGAACCACAAGGAGGCATCCTCCATGGTCACCTCTCCCAAGAGATCGCCCACACAAAGATCTTATTCGAATGATTGATGGAACGTTTGTCATAAGTATAAATGTCAAGTCTTGTCAATAGTATGGAGGCTCTGCACAAGTAATAAATGCGCAAACAAGCTAGCAAGTCAAGCCCCATACCTATGATAAGATGTTTGAATCAAAGAGATGAGGCCACGTGCCACCTCATCCAAGGGCTCCTATTTCACATGTATCACTATAAATACTTCCCTTGTGTAACATCAAAAGGCGAATGCAAGAATCAAGACAAAGAACTACACTTTACTCAGCTCTCTCTCATTTATTTGCAATACACAAATCGAGTTTATACACATTTACATATACATTTATGAACACCGGTTGGTAATTATTGTACAATCGGGTCACGAATAACCCGCCGGATTCCAAACCTCATCGTCCTGCGTCGTTGGGCTACTCCCACGCCCCTTTGAACCGCTCATTTTAGACCGTCCACGTGTCTTAGAGTGTTGGACATTCGCCCACGTGTGCGCGGGTGGGACCGGCATCTGTTGGCAACGCTCTTTGGGGTCAACAAATTGACGCCGTCTGTGGGAAATCATACTATAACTACGAGCAACCTTGTGGCAAAAGCTTACTAAAAGGACATTTGGGCAATCCCCCCTGAAAAAGGATTTGTTCTTGGAAAAGAACAGGAGGAAGCCCCATTACTTATCGAAATCTGAAATCTGACAAGAGAAAATGAGCTCCAATGAAGATACTCCTCCCAGGAGGGTAAGAGAAAACGTTAACGTGCCTCCTCAGCCCGCTGTCCCAACAGCTCGGTAGAGACTCCACCACCATCAAAGAAAAGGTGGGATGCGTGCGACGGCATAATTATCAAGAGAGATGGCCGCCATGGCAGCCAACATGAGGGATATTGCTAGTCAAAATTTGGCCATGAGGGAGCTTATGGCCCAAATGCAGGGCCAGGGAGGCTTCCCCATTCTTCCATATACCCCCCAAGGGCACTACCAGCAAGAGGATGAAGTCCAAAGTCATAGAGCTGCTACGCCAGACTATGGCCGAGGTGAAAGCCCATTTGAAAGGAAAGTGGAAGTTGATGTTTCCTCCAACTACGCTTCTGGCCGACCCACTGAGGTCCAAATGAGCCATGATAATTTCCCACCTCCGTATGAGCAAGATCCAAGACATAGGAGGGCAGGAAGTGTTTTTGACAGAATCAGCCCCGTTGAACCCAGGCAAAGGCAACAGCAAGCTCAACAGCCTTGGACAAGGCCGCCTCCTCCACCTACAATGCCCCAGCAGGCGGAAAGAAGGCAAGAAAATGCCCCTGTGTTGCTTCGCCTAGAAATAGGCGGCAGAGGAGGGAGGAAGAGGCTCGGAATCTCTCCGAGACCTCTCACTAACAACCGGGACATGAGGCTGATGAGTACGACTCTGATGAATAACAGAGGTCCTGCGACTTGGACAATGACGATGACGATGAGAACCTACCATTCTCAAGGGAACTAAGGAATGCCTAGGTCCCGAGCCACTACGTGATGCCAAAAATACCAAAGTATGACGGAAGAGTCGACCCGGAGAAGCATTTGAATGCTTATAAAACTCACATGAGCCTAAGGGGTGCCACCCCAACCGTGAAGTGTAGAGCCTTTCATTTAACGCTTAGTGGAGTGGCTGGAATCTGGTATAGCAGATTGCCACCTGGGAGTATTAGAAGCTGGCCCGAGTTCAAGACAACATTCTTGAAGAGGTTCGCAGTGAGTAAAGAAGGAGAAGCCCCTATCCAACGTCTCCAGGACATGAGGCAAGCACATGGGGAGTCCCTAAAGAGCTTCTTATCACGCTTCACCGATGAGATGAAGTACTGCGTACAAGTCAGCGACCGAGAGGCACTATCTGCACTGAGGGGAGGTCTGAACATGAATACCTTATTCTGGAGAGATGTGCATAATCAAGACCCCACCACCTATGATGTCCTACTCGAGATGATGAGAAGGGAGATCATCAATGAAGAATTGATTGAGCATAGGAACAGGGCAAATAGAGGCCTCCTGCCTCCCCAAAGACAGCGCGGTAGAGGCCCAACCTCCCACCTGATGGGCTACCAGATGAACCAGGCAGGAAATGATAACTCTGGTCAAGCACTTGCCACCACCACTTTGAATGCGGTTCCCACCTTGGCATATGAAGATGTCATCCAATAACTGACCCCCATCAGATGGGGGCTCAGGAGATGCCCAGTAGGGGGAGAGGCCGAGGTCGAAGCTCTGGACCTAGAAATAGGTCAAACCCGAACCCCCCAGGATACTGTGTACACCACAGGTCCTACGGGCATAACACAGCGGATTGTAGAGACTATGTACAACGTTCTCGGAAGGAACCCATTAGAGACGGACATGATTCGCCCCAAGCGAACAGGCCCCCGCTCAGGCACGACAACCAGTGTGTGCGAGAGGAGGCCGCTCCCCATCAAAGGGATGTATCCCCAAGGCGAAGGGAGAATGATGCGGAGAGACCCAGGGAAGGGTGTATGCACCAAAGAAACTGGCAAGCTAGAGATGAAGCCCCTATCCACGAGGTGGACACCATATTTGGAGGTCCGTATGTTGGCGGTGAAACATGAAACGCCAAAAGGAACTACGCCCGGGAGGCTAAACACCCCCCTTTGACAAGCTACATTGTGGGTAGTAGCTCCCAAAGAAACCAGGTTCCACCCATTGTATTTTTCCAGGAAGACGCAGAGGGAGTTCATTACCCCCACTGCGATGCACTTGTGGTGAGGGCTGTCATAGCCAGGAATGGGCTCAAACGAATGTTGGTTGAAAATGGCAGCTCCGTCAACATTCTATTCGGATCCGCCTTTGATAAAATGATATTGGATCATCAGCTGACGCCCACCACCACTCCATTGTACGGATTTACCGGAGATAGCATCACTCCAAGAGGAAAGATAACACTAGCAGTAGAGATGGGGGAATCCCCACGAACAACGATGAACTTTATGGAGTTCCTCATTGTTGACAGCAGGTCGGCCTACCATGGGGTGTTGGGCAGACTAGCCCTAAAGGAACTGGGAGCAGTCACCTCCATCCACCACCTGTGCATGAAATTTCCAACAGAAAATGGGGTGGCAATGGTGAGAGGCGACCAAAGAGGCTCGAGAGAATGCTATCTAAGCTCCATTAAGAAGGCAGAGCCCCGGGACATCCATGTAATCATAGCTAACGTGGTCATGGCTGACGTCCTAGGTGATGCTCCCACCGAACAAGAAGATGTTGATATGATCGATACACCACCTAATTCAGAGTCGCTGGTCATCGATGAAATTGACCCCCGCATCATGGAACACGAGCCTCAGGCATCTCTGGTAGAGGAACTTGAGAGCTTCTCAGTAGACCCTCGAGACCCATCAAAGGTGCTGAAGGTAGGCAAATGCCTAGCCAACATTCTGAAGGAAAAGATTAAGAATTTCCTAAGCAAGAATCTTGATGTCTTTGCCTGGAAGCATGAGGACATGATAGGCATAGACCCCAAGGTCAGCTGCCACCACCTGAAAATTGATCCTAAAGTTGCCCCGCATAGACAAAAAAGGAGAGCCCTCAATCCTGAAAGGTATGAGGCTCTAAAGGAAGAAGTTCAAAAG